ATGTGCTGCTGTGGGAGAAAAATCATCAACAGTCTTACCTGGCTGTGAATTCTCTGAGCTCCAATAATGATTGACCTGGCAAGATATACATGCCCATTGTTGCAATAGTGACATGAATGTTACAGACTTAACCAACTACTTTCTGCTCTCCTCCATAGGTGACCTCAGAATTGGAATATCACCTGTGGTGACAAATTCTTTCCTAGTCACTCAAACAGTGAAATAGATGATCAGATATTCATTTTTGATAAATAATCTGAAGTCTTTGATATGAAGTCTCACTCAATATAAAATTGTTCAAAATAAATGACCCCCACAAAGTGGCATACTGGTCTTTGCTGATCAATTACTATATTCCTAAGGACTCTGCAGCTCCTCTGTGATTGGAATACTCTTGAAATGATGACCCCATAGAACACAGAAGCCCTAGTAGCTGATGCCCTTGCTCTAACATCTCAAAACATCAACCCCCACAATCTCTACCCCTAACTTCTTAGAAAAAAGCTATTCAATTCCCTTACTAATATGATCCACCATGTTCTTACGTTCTGAAGTCATTATGGCACACCTGCTCCACATACATGTCTTTCAATGTCCAACAGAGAACCAATGTGAGGAGAATTTTAAATAACTACAATTCTCTTTATTGAAAAAGATACACTAGAGACCAGCTATACTTGTTCCATGGCCCAGCAGTAATAAGAGTCTCAAACCCCTTAGATTTGACATCACTGGTTGGAAGTATGAATTATTATAATAGTATCTACCAAAGTCAACTAAAACCCTTTCTTTTATTATTAACCCCTGACATTTTCATATATGTGTGTATATATGCTGTACATATGTATATATATATATATGTATATGAATGCGTTAGCTTTTCCCATGAAATAAACAACCCAACTTGGTCTTAAACACATAAGCCACCCATTCTGAAAGTTAACAATTTGGGCTTGTTCTATTTGGCCATTCTGGTGTAAGCTCAGTTGATCTCAGATGGACTTATTTATGTGTCTGAAGGCAGTGCCTTGACTTCTCGGTATTAGTTGGCTGCTAACTGGGCCACTGGGGGCAATGAGTTTTATTACACTGAAAGCTAGATGTGACTTGGTCACATGAGCATCCAGTGTTTCAGGAAAGTGGTGTCTCATTGTCAAGCACTTTTCAAGTCAGTAACAATTTCATGAAGTCCTCATAAGCCACAAGTCCAGCTCCATTGTGGAGACTCACTTTTTTTTAACAGAAAAACTTCCTTGTCCTATTGCAAGGGCATGAGCACAAAGAGGGAAAGAAATTATGGCTTTTTTCCTGAAGTTTCAATCAGGAAGGGATTGTGAGATGTGTAAATGCTGACACAGAGAGGTAGTTAGCAGTTACTAGATCATCTAGGCACATCGGATCTCTTTAATAATTATTTGTAGTGCCTGATGCATTCATTTATTTTTCAACATATCTTTTGACCACCTACTGTGTACTTGGCATAATACAAGGTACCTGTGACATAACCAAAACAAGCAATGTCCTGGCTCCTGCAATCTTACAATCTGGTACAGGACAGATGTACAGCAAGTGAATGTGTCCTAGACCAGACTCATAAGTGCCTCTTGGCCAGCTAAACGTACTCAACTGCTGAAAGAAACAAGCATGCCACTCTGTTTAAGATGGCCAGAGAAGGCCATGCTGATACCCTGAGGGAGTACTTGGAGATATTGAGGGAAGAACCCATAAGGATTGCTAGCGAGGGGCAGTCAAATGGATCATGTGAGAGACAAATGCCACCAGCATAGAGAGAGGAGGGAAGGAAAGTAGGAGGAAAGGAGAAGGGAACCAAGAGCAAGCTGTGAGAGAAATGGAGCACATTTCATAGGCCATGGCAAGTCTTGGCAAGAAGGTGGATGTTATTCTGAGTGAGAACCTTGCCTGGCTGGGGAACAAGATCCGGCACAACCTGACCTGTATTTACCAAGCATCACTCCATTTGTGTTGGATACAAGCTGCTCTAGGAGGAAAAGGGAAGAAGTAGGAGCCACATGAGAGGATCCTGAAGTTCTGTTGTCACTGGGCTCCCAGCCTCAGCATCCCAGCTAATAAATGTACTTTTCAAACTGCAGTTTAGGGTCCCTAGGAAGGATTATAGCCATATTTGGCAAGAGGGTATCTAAGAGGAGGGTGTCTTAAGACTTTACTCATCAAGGGCTACACATTCATCTTTACTCCACCTATATAACTCAAGAAGAATGCAGAAAGACAGACAAAGGAGGAATGGATTTGTCTAGAAAAATGGTTCTCAGTCTGTGATTCACTACTCCTTTTGCGGATGAACAACCCTTCAGCAGGGTCACCTAAGACCACTGGGAAAAAACAGAGATATTTACATTAGGATCCATAACAATAGCAAAATTGCAGCTATAAAGTAACAAGGGAAATAATTGTATGATTGGAAGTTACCACAACATGAGGAACTGTATTGCAGGTCACATCGTTAGGAAGGTTGAGAACCACTGCTCTCTGTGCAGTCACTGTAGAATCATCAGCTTCCTTCCTTCACTAATTGCTCTATAGAAAGTGTTGCACAGAAAGTAGTCCCAGGAAAAGGGTGGGATTGCAAAAAACTTGCCATCCTGTGACCAGATGTCAGAGCAGGGTGGAGCAACTTGGCTGGCATGAAGCTCAGGGCAGAGTCAGGTCCCACCTTCTAAGGCTCAGGAGCCCAGCCCAATGAACCCAAGGTTGAACTAACCTAGGGTGACGTGAATCTTTCCCCAAGTGCAGGAGTTTGTGCCTATGGCCTGCTCTCTGCTAGGGATCTGCACTTAACCAAAATGCTGCTTCAACAGTGTGAGCTCTCCAAAGTTCAAACCTTCCTTCTGTCCCCTTCTGTCTTCCTTCTGTCTCATTCCAACAGAGGTTGATCCCAAGCAGAACCCAACGGCAGTCTGGGAGGTTTCCGTTTCTTACAAATCGGACCTGAGCAAATGGTTCTCTCTTTTCCCAGAGTCTCCAGTCTACACAAGGTCAATTCTGCTTCTTTCTCTCCCTGCTACCCATGCTTCTAGCAAAGACCTTAACATCAGACAAGTTTTCCAAGTGGATGAGCACTAGAATTAACGGGAGAGAAAGCGTGGGAGGCTGCAAGTACCAAACACACCTTTTCCAGTCCCCACTCCAAGGGTGACATGCACAGTGCTGTTCCTGCAGCTTAGATGAGCAACCCCTCAAAAGCCAGAGTGCTAAAAGCTCAGCCACCAACAACAGGCATCACTGGGAGGTGAAGAACTCTTAAGATGTGAGATATAGTGACCAGTCTTAGGCCACTGGAGATGGACTCTTGAAAGGAACTACAAGACCTCAGTACCTTCCACTCTTCTTTTTGCCTGGATTCCAGGATGTAGGTAAGCCCTCTGGTGAGGATCTCCCCCACAACCATCCCCACAGTGAGCCTTGCAGCCACAGGTCAAAGCAGCAGCACAACTAAACACATACTGATGCATCCAAGACTCTGAATTGAGATAAACCTCTTTTTCAGTTGCTTTAATCTCAGGTGTGAGTCGCTACAACAAAGGGCTAGTTAAGAAGCTTCCTTTTCCCAGACCAGAAGAAGTGACTCTGATACCAAAATCCTTAGGTGATCAAGTCTCTTATATAAATGGTGTACTGTTTGCCTGTTGTGTGCACACATCTGCTGGCACTGTCTGCATTAGTCTAGATTAGTTTTGGTACCTAATGTAAGTGCTACGTAAATGTTTGCCATATTGTATTCTTTAGGAAATGATGACAAGAAAAGGTCTTCTGATGCTCAGTACTGGCATCAGGGTTTGTTTTTGTTTTTGTCCTGAAGATTTGCATTCCACACTTGAATTCCAGGCTGAATCCAGGGAGGCAGAATCCATGGATACAGAGGGCCGGCTCTATTAGTTAGTAATATGAGCCTGGGAGCCAGGGTATCTTGATCCTTGCTGTAGTATTTTTAATCAGTGTAACCTTGGGAACTTGTTCTCCAGGCTTCAGCTGCAGCATTACGATCCTAAAATGATAACTACAACATTTGTCTCTGAGTGTTTGTGTGGATGAAATGAGAAATCACATATGAAGTGCTTTTTGGCATAGTGTTTGACATAAGAAATGGGAGATGATATTATTACAATTAACATTATTCCATTAAGGAGGGAGGCTGGTACCCAGCTGCTCATGCACAGACTGCCAAGCAGTGAGTAGTCACACAGCTTGGGAACACTGACTGGCAGGTGCAAAGTCAGAGTGGGCCTGTTGGCAGTGGGCTAGGGAGTAATGCTGGCCTTCTTGCAAAACTCACTTGAAAATAGTATAAAAGCGTATTCAGTGGTAGGGTCTCAAATACAATTCATGCAATCAGAAACTTCCCTTGGTTGCTCCACAGACACCCACTCACTGGGAATGAGGAGCTGAAGGAGAGGGTCCAGAAAATTCTACAACAGTTGCATTGCAGCAACCAATGCCTCAACCCTCCCCCCACCCACTTCCACTACCCTCTGACTCTCTCCCAGTGAGTGGAAATGCCACCACTCATTAAAGCAAATGTCAAAGATTCTTTTTTTAAATAGCTTATGAGTGATCCTCCAGGATTTACCTCTAATGGTCAAATTAGAGAGTCTGAAGCTTAAAAGAAAACTCTGAAAGGTCATGAAAAGTAAAGAGGTCCTGATACTGAGGATGGGAATACTAGCATTCCTGTGACATCTTTGACATCTTGGGACATCTCACTGTTGAAGGGGACTCTATAAGTAGATACCAGAGTGGGTACACAGCTCATATTGCCACCAAGGTCCTGGATAGATTTGGACCTCGTGCTCTCTAATCTTTAATAGTGAGGAGAATATGATGGAGATGCAGCCTAATGGTACAGCACTTTCCTGGCATATACATGCTACCTGAGGTGAAGCTCCAGCACCATGTAAAAAAATAACTGAAAACATTGTCTTGGTCAATGCTTCTCAAGTTGGATTTCCTGCCACTCATTCCAGAATCATGTGGAGAGCTAAAGGACATTCCCATGGAGACCTCTGGAACCCAGACAGCAAAGGGCATGGGTAAATCTTTTTATAGACAAGTCGGAGAACTACTGGCCTAGAAGACTTCTGAAACATAAACCCGCTGCATCTACAGAACCGCGCTGCCCATGAGAAGGAAGTTGTTTCAGATTTGTTCCTTCTTTGGGGGCCTTCGCAATCCAAAAATGGCTCCTCTCTGTCAGCAAAAGTAGAAGTAATAATAAAGCTAAATCCATCAGTCTGTAGCATTTATTCACCCTACACTTCTCTTGCAGCCAGCACCTCCCTGGGCTACAGCTGTGGCACACAAAAGCTGACTAGCTTTGGCAGCCACTGTTACCACAATACTCAATCCCTGCTCTCAGTAAATGAGAAGTGGGGAGAACAAATATCCCTTTAAGAGCATACTCTAATGTGGCGGTTTGAATGAGAGTAGTGCCCATAGGATCCTATATTTGAACGTTTTGTCCCCAGTTGGTGGAACTGCTTGGAAGGAGAAGAAGTTCTGGCCTTGTTGGGGGAGGTGTGATTTGACATTTCAAAATCCCACACCAGGCCCAGTTACCTCTCTCTGCCTCTGCTGTAGTTAAAGTGATAAGCTCTCAGATACAGCCCCAAGACCATGCCCTCCTCCTGCCATGTTCCCCGCCACAGAGGTCAGGGACTCTAACCCTCTACAACCATGATCAACAAATTAAATGTTTTCTTTTCAGAGTTTCTTTGGTCATGGTGTTTTGTCACAGCAATAGAAAAGTAATTAAGACACCCCATCAACCTGCTTCCTCATATTAGGCCCCACCACCTAAAGACTGCCCCATCTCCCAGTAGCACTAACAGACTGGAGAGCAAGCCTTTAGCGATTGGTCTTTGAGGGACATCAGTTCCAAGCCAGCTAATTGGCAATGAAGTCTGGACTTGAGCCCAGGTAACAAGCTACCAGGGTGGGGCTTTTGTGTTCCAAACTTAGCTTAGTTTAAGATGTAGTTTTAAGGAAACCTTCTGAGGCATCACCAATCCCTACATGCTATTGGTGTCCTACCACAAGTTGTACTCCCAGGCCTTGATGACTGTTTATTGTCTTAAAAGTGACTTCCATGGCCCAGGCCAGGGGAGCATTATCAAGGGTAGCAACCTCAAAGGACACAGGCTGTTTCTTGCTGCTAGACTGACTGACCACCAAATCCATGCAGAAGGTCTGAGCTCCCAAGACAGGCCCACATCAGAGCTGTCTGTGAAATGCAAAGAGCGTGCTGAGGGGACAAACACACGCAAAGCAAGTTCTGCCATTGCTGTCCCAAGACAGTGAGGAAGACTGGACATCCACAGCCTCCTGGGTCACTTTCAAAGTCAGCCCCCACCACCTGCCCATTCGGCCTCTTTATGAATACGAGGTCAACCCCAGCCAAGTTTACCTCTACCAGTTGGCATCTGGATGTCATTTCATCATCTACCTGAATTCTATTGGATTTGGTTTTTGTCAATTACTTAGAGAATTCAGAGCAAGGCAGAGTATGTCTGCAGTTGTATAAATCTGGCCCATGTGGCTAACTGCGGCATGAAGGATTGCAATGGCATAAACAAAATCGGGTGAAAGTACCTCCCTTCTATGAGTCTGGAACCAGTAATGGTGGTATTAATCACGGTATCATTATAGTCATCCTCCTCAACTCCATAATCATCAATTTAGAAAATGTTTCTGTTGGTGACAGCTCCTTATTACAGCATGGTATTAACTGTATCCACACTGACTTTCAGCTCCTGTTGCTAACCAGCTGTGGGGAAGTAAATATCCACAAGTCAGACAGCATGGGCTCAGAGGGCCAGGACTTGGAAAACTGACTTAGAAATGAACCAAGGGCACCTGCAAGCATAGAGTCCTCGCAGCACTGGCACTAACTAGTGAGCGGTGTCCAGTTTTAGAGTTCTTGAGATCTCTTTCAAGTACAGGGCCTCGGGTTGTAGCTCAGTGATAGAATGCATGCCTAAAAGGAACAAGACCTGGGGTTCGGTCCCCAGCACTGAAAGAAAATAAAACCAAATACAGTGGGCCAATAAAGAGTTAGCAGCTAGAGTTTTGCCTTTTGTGAGCTTAATCTAGGTCACAGATATTCATCCTGAAGAATCTTTGTCTGGTTCATTATTTAAAAACAAAAAGAATAAACTACCACCAAGAGAATAACCACATGGATTCCCTCAACATCTGATTAAAAACTCTTAACTACCCCAAATTCCTATTGTGGTTATTGGAGAACAAAGCTGTCTCAGCATTCTGGGGGTTTTCTTAAAGTACATTTCAAAGCACTTTAGTTTGTGACTTCTGCAAATTAGCACTCTCACGCTTTTTTCCCTAGACAGACCAAGGCAATTACATTCCACAGCCACTGCTATTTCTGTCCCTCCCTTAGAGCCTCCAACTGGCAGGAGAAAGTGCCAGATGACCTGTTGATTTGTATCTCTTCTGGTGCTTTTCATCAGAGCCACTGCCTCTGGGCAAGAACATGCTGTTTATTTGGGTCGGTTTGGGTTTAAGGGTCTGTCAAAGAGTTGGCATTCAAGACCCTCAGTTCCTCTTCTAACCTGTTTGCTTGTCCAGTGTTTTCCCTGGGAATCTGACCTAAGTTGGAGCCCCAGGACTTACATAGCAAAAGGAAAGAATCTACTCCCCAGTGTTTCCCTCTGACCTCCATATAAGCGCTGCTCACACACACACACACACACACACACACACACACACACACACACACACACACACACACACAAGAATAAAAACATGAGATGATTGTCCTTCTCTTCCCACTGCTCCCTGTGTCCTGCCCTTGGGTACAAATGAGAAAGCTCCGGACTATCAGCAGTGCAATGAACCTTTTCAGGTAAGCAAAAGAGGTACATAAGGGAGGAAGAGAATTATGCCAAGTACCCTGTAGTGTATGCTTAGAGCCATAGCTCACGGCCTATGGCCCTAGGGAACAATCCTGGGTACAGCAGTGAGATGCGCTCACAGACTCCCTTCCGTGGACACAGCTTGTTTCAGGGATGAGTTGCGTGTATGGAACACTCCTCTGAAACAAAACATCCCCTCCAAATTGGATCATTTGCTGGGGAAGCAATGGGGAACAAGGTAAATAGAAGGTCATATTTTTGGGAGAACAGAAATGCAGAAGATTCTTGAGAGCCCACCCAGAAGTATAAAAGGACTTGCTGGACATTCCACGTTGAGCAGCTAAACTGCAGAGATTGGACTATGGAGCTGCCTGCAAACTGCATAGAGAGCTGCAGGGCTTCTGTTTTCAGGACCTATGCTGGGATAAGATTTCTGGTGATGCAATGCCTTTGTTAAGTTACCACTACCCCACACTTCTGTTAGCAGGCCCAATAAAAAGGCACATTGCGTCACCAAGTGCAATCTACTTTGGTCCGAGGCAGGTTCCTTTTCTCAGGTGAGTAGACAGACATTCAGTGCTGCCTCCTCGGTAATAAGGAAACATTAGAGTCAGTCTACAATGATATGAAACAAATCATGTAAATTATGTTATAATTCTACAGTTAAATACTATTTTAGTGGGGCTAGAGAGATGACTCAGAGGTTAAGAATACTGGCTGTTCTTACAGAGGACCTGGGTTGAATTCCCAGTACCTGTATGTCAATTAATAACTGTAACTTCAGTTCCAGGATATTCACTGCCTCTCCTGGCCTCTGTGGTCATACTATGCACAAACATGCATGCAAGCAAAATAGCCACACACTAAAGTAAAATAAATAACTATGCATTCACTAAATTAAGATTCCAAAGATTTTGTAGTAATACAAAAGCTATGGTTTAAAAATCATCAAAAGAAACCCATTAAATCCACTCTTTTTCAAAAGTTAACACATCCACATACATAATTAGCATATGTATATGTAAAACATGTAATGTATGTAGAAGGAGGGAAAGAAATTGAGGCTGAAAGCAGAAGAAAGGAATGAGTTATAAATACATAGAAATATTAGTAGATTGTCCCATGGCAGATGCTTATATGAATTTTGTTCTTCTTTAACATCTGTCTATATTTTCCAAATTGTCCAGTCAGAATATCTTTTTTTTTTTTTGCTTAGAATCAAGAAAAAAGACTATTGCTTTGAAAGCTGTAAACTGCGAATTAAGCTCTAAAAATCATATTTGAAAATACTGCTTAGGACATGAAAAATGCTTACTTTTAAAATATTTATTTCATTTTATGTGTATGAATGTTTTCCTGCACATATGTCTGTGCACCACACGCATGCCCGGTGCCCATAGAGACCAGAGAGGGTGTCAGATCCTCTATAGTTGGATTTACACGTGGTTGTGAACTACCACGTGGATGCTGAGTCCTTTACAAGAGCAGCAAGTGCTCTCAATTGCTGAGCCATCTCTCCAGACCCTAAAATGCCTATATTTGAAAGGGGAGAAGAATCTACAACCACTCTTTTTCTAAATCAACCCAATCGCTAGCAATAATCTATGAACATTTGTCCTTATACTCACAGAGAAGTGCAATCTTCATTCCCTCATCAAGGAAATTTCTCTTTACAGCAGACGGAGACTACTACAGGAAAGCACACCCAATCAAAATGCAGAGTTGTGGATTCCAGTCCCAATGCACACATCTACAGTACAATCCAACATCCAAGACTCAGAAAACATTGAGGAAGAGGGGACAGAAAGATGGTAAGAGTCTGAGGATTGGGAGGTTTCTGTGAGATTGTGTCCCCTAGTAATGTCAGAAGCTGTGCCCATTAAGTGTGTATGTATATTACCATGACCACTCAAATGTAAGCTGAACAGTGACACCAAGGAGCATGCCAAACTGGAGAGAGAAAAGCCCATGAGGCCTAACCCCACACAAATGACTATAGGTGACTAAGGAAAGCTGTAAGCAGGAGAGGTAGTCTTACCCAGGGAAGAACACACTAATTAGTTGTTCAGTACCAAAGGCCCAGCCCTGAAAGCACACAAAGTTCCTGGCTGCACAGCCCCCTCCCCAGCCCAGTTTCCAAATTCCCTCAACCCATCCTCACCTCTGCAACCTCACTCTCTTGCTGGATACTAACTCCGCTTATCTGATCCCTGAGAACGGTGGGCCTGTCAGAATGGCCTTCCACTTGCATTTACTCACCCCTCCTAAATTCTGTCCCGATGTTTTAGAAACAGGAATTAGGCTGGCTCCAAAATTGGTTCTCAGCCTCACCCGTGCTCATCACCCGACTCCCTTCCATTTTTCGATGCTTTGCTGGCTTTTTAATATTGCTCACATTTGACCCTGGGGCCATCAAGAGGTTAACTGACTTTATCAGCTAACAGATCCAACTCCCTGAGAGCTGAACCTACCCAAACTCATTATCACAGGCTTGACCTCCAGGATCATGGTCAGCCTTTAGAAGGTGACAACCCACAATCAAGAGGGCCACTTCCCAGAGAGACCTCCTTCTGCTATTGACAAAATCAAAACGTCTCCCACCGAGGTGCACCCTGCGAGTGCAGTGAAGAGGCTGCCAAAAGGTGCCTATCCTGGGCTTCATGGGGGCATACCTGGTTGCATGAAGGTCGATGTCAAAAAAAAAACAAAACAAAACAAAAAACCTTCCAGCCACAAAAGGACATTGTGCTAAGTAAGCTTGCCTGCAAAGGCTGGGTTAGCATGCTCCAGGATATATGTCACAACACCATACAGGGGGACCAGGATCCCTGCTCCCATTCATGGTGAGAAAGTGTCATTAGCTCACCTTCTTACTTGGGAAAAAAAGGGAAGAATTGTTGGGAGTGATCATTGTTATTTAAAACCTCTTGTAAATATTGTCAGTCCTTTTTAAGAATAGTCCGTCCCCACCCCAGCTTCCTAATGAATAGAACCTGGGCTCACAGAAATAGCTGATAGCAATGTACAGGTGGTTACTCAACTCTCTTCTTTGCAATTAGGTTACTTAGCACTAACACCTCTTCAATCCTGCTGCTCAGCCTCAGTGGTGGTCTGCCAGCACCCCTAGAACTTGACCAAAAACACACTCCTCAGCCTTTACTAGGCCCCAACCCCTCCCTTATTGTTCTGCATCCCCCTACCTCATTTCCCCTATTTAAGCCTGTACAGAATTTTCATTAAACAGCAACTTGATCGGAGGTCTGTCTTGCTGTCCATCTCTCTCCTGTCTCTTGTCTCATTCATTCCAGGTTTCCGTGGGCTCGAACCCGTTGTGCCCTGCTAGTCAGCGCAACATAGTAAGATTATTCTGTAGCATTATTTGAACTGAACAATTTATATTTAGAGATATATGTATGCACATATTTATATGAATAAAAAAACAATTAGGGGCAGTGGCAGCACACACCTTTAATCTCAGCTCTTGGGAGGCAGAGGCAGGCAGATCTCTGTGAGTTCAAGACCAGCCTGGCCTACAAGAGCTAGTTCCAGGACAGGCTACAAAGCTACACAGGAAAACCCTATCTTGGAAAAACAAAACAAAATGAAAATAACAATTTTTTTGTTTAAAAAGAGGCCATGAATTTGAAAGAGAGTTGGAGAGGGGTATGTGGGAAGGTTTAGAGAAAGGAAAGGAAAGAAAAACGTTGTAATCAAATTATAACATCAAAAATAAAACAAATTTTTAGAAAGGATAAATTCTTTTTTATATAGAAACTTTATTTTAAATTAGAAACTATCTTATTTTACATATCAATCCCTTCCCTCTCCCTCCCATCCTCCTATGCCCTCTACCAACCCCCCCAATCCCATCCCCAATCCACTCCCCAGGGCGGGTAAGACCTTCCATGAGGGATCATCAAAATCTGTCAAGTCATTTGGGGCAGGACGTAGGCCCTCCCTTGTGTATCTAGGCTAAGAGAATATCCCTCCATGGGAAATGGGTCCCCAAAGTCTGTTCATGCACTAGGGATACATCTTGGTCCCACTGCCAGAGGCCCCACAGACTGCCCAATCCTCCTAGCTGACACCTACATTTAGGGGGCCTGGTTTGGTCCTGCGTTGGTTCTCCAGCTGTCAGATTAGGGGTCCATGAGTTCCCACTTGCTCGGGTCAGCTGTTTCTGTGGATTTTTCCAGCGTGGTCTTGACCCCTTTGTTCTTTGTTCTTCATTCCTCCCTCTCTGAAACTGGATTCCAGGAGTTTGGCTCAGTGCTTAGCTTTGGATCTCTGCTTCTGTTTAAAAAGGATAAATTCTTATAATTCCAACTTTGCCCATTAGTTATAGATACAAAAAGATAAATATATTCAAATAGGAGAACTGATTACTCTAAATGACAAGGGTGGGTTGTTTTAAAAATTTCCTCAAATAATCATAAATTAGCATAAAATAAGCAACATAAAATTATTAACCCTGAGGCTTTAAAAAATAGTGGAAGAACTCATACTGGCAAAATGGACATTTCTTTTGATGTTTATTACTTTAATGTTTAAAATATTTCTCATCTTTATATAGAACTGGTGAGATGGCTTATGGTAAATGTTCTTGCCTCCGAAGCCTAATGATGTGAGTTCAATCCTTGAAGGCCACAGAACAGAACACTGGTGCACACACACATGCACATGCACACACACACACACACATGCACACGTGCATGCACCAGTATTATTAAAGAAAAAAATAACTGTACACCTAATTACATGAATGCCCTTCTTACAGAGGTGCTCCACATGTCCCAACTGTATAGAGGGGGAACTTTCACCATATTGAACCCAGTATTATCAGCCAAAACAATTAACTCTGAAATTGCAGAGACCTACTAGTGTAGTCCCATTATCCAGCCTGCCAACCTGCGGGGGATGGGAGGGGTGGGGGGGATTTCCCTCTGTACCAGTGGCACTCACTTGAGGCTAGTAATACTCTCCCTATTACTGCTGGGAGAGACCAGCTGAGATGGACAAATATTAAGTTCAGAGGTTTTTCTCAAGATCAGTTATTCCAGAGTGTGTTTATATGGCTTCTTAATATTTCCCCACGCCAATGGTGAAGAAAATCAAGCTGTGATTAATTAAACAAATGTTGCGGAATGGAGCAGCCACCTTTAGAAAATATTTTTTAAAAACTAATTGAATCCTGAGGGCATGTGAGTCATCTCCCATGCAGTGAAAATCATCCTTCCAGGTTGTAGTTTAGGGCACATACGTATACATTTGAACATAGACACCAAATTTTAGGCTAATGGGCATATCTTATTAAGACATCAAAACATACCTTGATGGGAGAGGGAAATCACAGACTATTAAAATTAAAATTTAACTTTAAGAAACATTTCTGAGCTTTTTATGCACAGAAATATGGAGAGCTAAGAAAATATCGGGGGGTTGGTTTTCTCCCCTGGTTTGTGTGTAATGAGGCATTTGGACTCACTTCCTGTCTTCTAGCCCAAGCTCAGACCCAGCTCTGTGGCCTTTGAGGTCTCTCTGTCTTACTGAGCAAGAAAAAGCCTGATCGCTCCATATGTGACTGGAGTTGCCATCTACCCAAAGCATATGTGTTTAATCAACTTTAATACCCCTGTAGGCCAGAAGAAGTGAAATACTCAGGGCTGGGAATAATTATCATTTCCACTGCATTAGCGAGGTTTGCCAGTGTGCCAGTGGGGCGGGACATCCGCCACCACTCTGTCCAGGGCTGGCTAGCAGTAGAGGGAAGAACAGTCGGAAGTGACCCATGCGCCACAGCTCTCTCCTCCTCAGCTGCCCTTTTCCCTAAGCTCCTTCCCGCTCATCTTCAGTAACAGCATCCACTGTGATTAATGAAGAATGTGGTTGATCTTTCTCAGTTCCCTCAAGTGTCCTCCATATTCCTTCTGACTCAGAGAGGGAAACCTGGAGCTTGTACATACCAGTGTAAAATCACTAGGCTCAAGAGCGTCCCAAGAAAGAGATCTCCCAATGAGGATCAGCTAGATCATCAGGTGGGCCAGCAAGTCACCCCTCACAGAAGAAATGCAGGATCCTCCAGCTCCAGATGAAACTGTTAGAGGGATGCCCGAGAGCTTTGGTGAAGGCACTGAATTCTCTTCTGGGCTCTCATGTGAGCTATTGGCTTCTCTTGGTTTTGATTCCTGATTTCTTCTGAAGTGGAAATTCGAAAAGTATGTGTCATTCCAACTCATGGAGATTAAAGGAGATTGGTGAAGACTCTGTGCATTGCGAAGCATGAGGCTAATAATCAAGAAGAGGTGTAAAAGAGCATTGGCATTGCCAAAAAGCAAAAATATTCAGTCTTGGCAAGAAAGGAGAAATGTACCTTGCCATTGGGTTCCCTAATAAATAGCAGCAAGTTCTTCAGTTTAATAACAGTGTCAACAACCTTCAAAATGCAGTTACCCTTTGAGCCCCCAGCTCTATTGCATTGCTGTTACTTAGTTTCCATTCATGACATATCAATTTGAAAATGTGCAGGATCATGTCCTCAGTGGTGTAGCCACTCATAAACTGCCTATGCACCAGTAAATAATCCCATACCTGTGTTCATGCAAGCAGCCATAGTTAATCTCAATAGGTCACACACACCAAAAAAAAAAAAAGACATGAAAAGTTGGAGGGTTTTGTTGGAAAAGAGTTCAGAGTGAATGGGAGACCAATAAAAGAAGATAATTAGGAAGATATGGTGTCAAAATATATTAAACAATACTTTTTATGTGTAGCAAATACTATAAATCCTTTTTTGACTTTCAAACTTACAATATTCATACTTTTGGAAGTAAATCTAGTAATAAGGATGTTGTTAATAGTCAAAAGGGTAAATGACTGTGGGGTACCCAGCACCAGTTGATGTATCTACTGGGCAGCCCCTATATCTAAGGCTCAGGGAAAATCACAAGAAGATGCTGAAGAAAGATGTATGAACCAGAGGACCAGGATTTCTATTGCTATATGGTGTCTTCTAACATTACAGGGAAGCTGCACCAAAGAAATATCAACAACATGGCTCCCTAAATAAGACCTGTATAATGACAATACCAGTTGACATGACAATGTGAATGGGAAAATTTCACAGGGTCCCATCCCTGGATGAAGAGGCAATCAGTTGCTGTTGAAAGAGGGAGAAATAGTTTATCCCCCCCCCCCCCCGGGGATAACTCCCTGATAGTTCATCCAATCACAGGGCGTTATCCCTAAACACATGTACATGCAAGCAACATTAAATTGACTCACTAAGTTGTATACATGTCTCAACACTACCTATCGTTATTTCTTTCTCCATTGTGTCAGACTTACTAAAAAGCACAACAATCAGCTGCACAAGGCCTCTTCTGCTCAACACTAATATTTCCTCCACATCCAGGAGATGATAGAAACCATGACCCCAGAGCTGCAGGCAATTGCCTCAAAGTAGTAGTGAATAACTCATCCCAGACAGCATTGATGAGATACATGGAAGGCTTCATAATCTATCCTCCTCAGGATGTCTTTGTTAGAGATTCAAAATCAGTGTGTTGGATACACAGTGGTGAGCATAGAGCTACCTTCTAACCAATAGACCTGGGTTGGATTCCTGGACAACTCAGTGCTTTTTTATGGCTAGAGAGATGGTTCAGCATCTAAGAAATCTTGCTGCTCTTCCAGAGGACCAGAGTTGAATTCTCAGTACCCAGTTTATTGGTGGCTGGCAATGGCTCCAAGTCTAGGGAACCTGATGATTTCTTCTGACTTCCTCAGGCACACACATGCATGCATACAAATATGTATGTACACACACACACACATGAATAAGTAGCAAAATAACAAGCTTTAAAGAAGAAATCAAAAATGTTGAAAGATTCTGAATTTGAGTCAAGTCAAGGAAGCACCACTCTACCCAACTGGCAAGATAAAGGCTACTCTCATCCCTAACTAGCTCAACCTCTGCAGTGAAGGGTAGGGTGGTGAATGCAGATGCGACTCATGGCTACCCACAATGCTAAGAATAAGTGACAGATGTGGGTTCCACCCCAAATAAGTCATTTATACTACCTTCGTACAGCTCAGGAAATGATATTCAAGTAAGGACCACAGGAATATAAGAGCTGGAAGACAGGGTGAAGGACAGCAAAATCCCCTCCTGTACATATAACACAGCCACTGTCATCACAAACTCACAGCAGGTTCTGGGCTTCCACAAGGCAGGTCCCCTCGACAGTGAGTCAATGATGAATCATGAGCTCTTGGGGTCCTGCTCAATTATCTATTTCTAACCGACACACTCTAGAGGAGGAGCTGTTGTCTTCAGTCTCGTATCCAATAGTGAACCCACTAGACTCCATGGACAGTTCCAATCCTGTGGTCACACAGACATCCCTGGTCAAGCACAGAGGAAAATAAAACAAAAAGTCATGAATGTGGGAAAGAGATTAGTAAGGAAAAGGGAGGGGGTGGTCAGATAGAGGAGGGAGGGAGATGAGAGATGGTAAAGGTAGAATAACTACTATGAAATTGCCAAAGAACAGATTTAATGAATAAACTACTTGGAAGGAAACTTTTATTTGAAGAATAGCATGAAAGGCATTAGTGATAACAATATCACACACAGACAAAGACAGAATAGAGAGACCCTAAAACATCCTATCAGCCATGGGGCCATTGGCAATTACAGATCCTGAAAGCTCAGTTTTCACTTATTGTATCTAGGAGGTAGCTGGCTCTGTTAGCTGTAGAATCTGATGTCATTTGGGTGAAGAGGAAGGAACATGGAAATTGGGCTGATCTTAGAAGAAGGTGAAAACTATGCTCTCTCCTAGCTCATCTCCTGCTACATATCAAACCATCCCCAAACTTGACTGAGAACTTCTCAGTTCTCTTGGGTGACATCTTAGCCAGGCTCAGCTGGGCAGTTCTCCTCCATATGGCATCTGCTGGGGCTGAAATGTCCACAGTGACTTCATCACTCACACATCTGTTGTCTGTTAGGATATCAACAGAAGCTAGGAGCTAGGCAGATGACAAGAATTGCAAGAGATCAGAGAATGTTCCCTGCTTGCCAGATGACAAATTATCCTATCACAGTTCCATAGATGCTGGCAGGAAGTCTGCATTAGTCACTGTGTGTCAGGAGTCCACATGAATCTTATGTTTGCATGGGTTCTGTGATCTACTCCAGGCCCTGTCCACTGAAAATCCATGAGAACAATGTCTTAACCACTGAGCCATCTCTCCAGCTCCTTGATTGCCTCTTTAAGAATGTTTGTTTTCAAGGAGTCTTGTGTAATAGATGTCTTTGACAGGCAGAGGTAGGATATGCCTCCTCTTCAGAGGGCAGCTGTGTAGGATAGCAACACTATATCTATGCAGCAATGGTACATTTTTGCTGTTAGCATGTTATAGGACTAGGAGTTTTCCAGAAGGTCCATGCAGCAGGTATGGGATGGAGATGGATTAATATTGTTTGCATCATCTACTGGGCTATGATCCATTGTGGTGTTTCATGGCAAGAAAGGTAAACACAAGAGACAGAGCCAAACCACCGTCTATTCATCCATCAATGGAGTAACACATTCATGATGGCAGAAACCTCCAAACACAATCACTCTCCTAAGTCCTACCTAGTACCACCTCTTAACTCCTCACAATGGAGATGAAACTTCAGCCTGGGCTTGGGGGTGCATTCAAAACATGGCAGGGCATCAGAGAACATGTTTTTAATATGGTGCAACACAGGTTAATCCATTGCCTAGCTGGGACTTCATGGTCTATGCTCCATAGGTTTCCCTTATAAAATGGTATGCTTGCTAGTAGGATTGGAAGTTCAAAACCAATGTGGACCAGTGGTCCCCATCGTAGCTCAGTATCACAAACATCCATGTGGCCAACACCAGATTCAGTGGTTCAACCCTGTGAGAATGAGGACCAAAACCTTTCACACTATCAGAGAACTCAAGAAGCCAGCCTGACCCATCCTGAGTGCCCATACATAGAAAGTCTAATTCGATTGGTTTATGTCTCCATACTATAGTGGGATATTTTGATCAAACTCTGACACTCCTGAGACTTGCCAATAAAGTTAAACCTTGAATAGGGGATGGATCCAGCAAGTAACTGACCAGAAGTAGCCATAGAGAAGCCAGCAGTTTAGGTAGAGAAGACACACAGGGGCATTTCTTGTTTTAGTTCCAACAAGAGAAGAGACATGTCTCTTGAAGTGTTTCTAGCCAAAAAGCAAGGTCAGCTAGTTGTTACTAAACCTCTCTAAGTTAGTAGGTTTTTATCCCAGTCTTTGACTCCCAAGTCTTATTGATAAATAGAATGATAGAGACTTAGTTTAAATGTCCATATCATGGCCGTGGCACAACGGGGGCCACAGAATCAGATGTCCCACCAGGCTGTGGCCTGAGTGGCCCTAGCTCTGACTGTAGGAACATAAGGCCACTGATGATAATTAAAATATCAGTAGATTCACGTGCAGCTGCTGAGCCAAAAGAAAAAAATCACAGTCCTTGTCACTATTCCTGGAGTCCTGCTGTCCTCATGGTCACCCATCATAGGTGGAGTTTCCTCCCCTCCAACTCAAAACTGCTATAAAAACAAATACCAGCAGCAATGCTGTCACCCAAAGAGGCAATACCTTGGGGAAAAAACCTGCATTTGGTAGTCAGTGAAATGAGTAAAGAATAAGAAAGACATCCCCAAATGACTTTTTCAACAAACAACCCCCACCCAACGAGGGCTGGCAATCTGTGGGTTGAAAAACAAAAGCAAACAAAATTCTTGGAGTCAAGAGACAGATGTAAAGCACATCCTTGAGTTACTCCATCCCTCCCGTCAGTTCCCCTTCAAAATGCCACTCACTCCTCAGATCTGTTTTCAAGTCCGATAACCACATGGGTAACGAGTAAATAAAGACTAACTGCATAGCAAAGCATCATGGTACACAGCTGTAATCCCAGAATTCAGTAGGCTGAGACTGAGAACCATAAACTGGAAGTCATCCTGGGCTACGTAGCAAATTAGGGGCCATATATGCCTACATGGTGAGATCCTAAGTCAAAATAAAACATTAACCAACAACAACAAAATGACTACCTGCACTAGTAAAGTAACCATTAGTATAATCTTTTCACAAATAGTTCTATTGTCATCATTTGAACAAATGCATTTCTAAAGAAAGGAGGAATATCTTCTCAAAATATCTACAGTTCACAGTTACTTTGGACCATGAAGTGATCACAATCTAAGATGAAGATCATGAACTTTACTATGCACTGGTTCTAGTCCTTGATATGTTTTTGCTAGTGGTATCTGTTTGCTGTTTTAGGTCATCGTGGGTTTTTTAAATGCACACACACACACACACACACACACACACACACACACAGGTCCACAGACAGAAAAGAGGGGTCAACACAGAAATCTGGATTTCTGACATCTCCTACAAATGTCAAGAGACTTGAGCTCTGGAGCTCATTCCCAAGAGCCTCCGAAATCTGAGCAGAGCAGAACCTTTCTCATTTGAATAGGAGATACTCTCCTAACTTGTTCCATGTCCTCTCCTCTGTGTATGGTCTTGTAGGTGACTTAACTTCTTAGTCCATAGACATCCTTGATTTTGTCTCCCTTACACAATGGAATCTCTCCAGAAATAATACACAAACAGACTGGGAATGTTCTAAGAGAAACAAACAATATAAAATAAGACAAGAGGAAACTAAAGTCAATGTAAAGAGAGCCCAGACTGAAGGACAGTAGGCCAGTATTTACAAAATGTAGGTCCTAAGTCCAGTTTTGCTTCTCTGCTAAGAGCTGATTGCTGCCACATCAGAGTGTCTCTGTGCTGAGTCCTCATCTGTGACCTATGGAAAGGAGCCACCCACTGTCTTAGTATTTTGTAGATCTAAGATAAGGGTCAGCCAACCACAGCCTGGAGATCAGTTCTAACCAGCTGCCTGTTTTTTCACTTTCTGCTAACTAACATGTCTTTTGCATTTTTAACTAGCCATTAAAAATCCTATTTAAAATGACCTTTTATAATACATAAAAAATATGTGAACTTCTCACTTCAGTAGTCACAATTGATTGGACACACAAAACATATTGTCTATGACTGCTATTGCTATAAAACCCCAAAGTGGGATAATTACAATAGCAAATAGCATCATTACAAGCCTAAAATATTTACTTACCTGGGCCTTTGTGGGAAAAGTTAACTGGCAATGTTTGTGATACCTATTCCTGGTTGTCAGCTTGACACCACCTATAGTTATCAGTGAGGAGGGAAACTCAGTTGAGAAAATGCCTCTGTAAGATCTGGCTGTAAAGCATTTTCTTAATTAGTGATTGATGGAGGAGTGCCTAGCCCATTGTGGATGGTGCCACCCCTGGGCTGATAGTTCTGGTTTCTATAAGAAAGCAGGCTGAGCAAGCCAACAAGCAGCACCCTTCCATGGCCTTTGCATAAGCTCCTGCCTCCAGGTCCCTGCCCTGTTAAAGTTCCTGTCCTGATTTTCTTTGATGACAAACAGTGAGAGGGAAGCATGAGCCAATAAACCCTGTCCTCCCCAACTTGCTTTTTGCTTCATCACGGCAATAAAAACCTGACGACAATGTTCTAAGCTATTCCGCAAAACTCTGTGAGAGAAATACAGATGTATATTACCATGAAACATTCCTTCTGGCAGACTATAAGAGGGCTCCTGTGGCCATGTCTATTGCAAGATCTTTTAAATATGTCCAAAACCTTTCCATAGACTTTCTTCCATGGAAATAAATAATAGTTGCCATGACTTGTTGATCACATATTGTAAGCATTTCATCTCATGAAAATTCTCAGCAATGGCTACATCATTCCCACTGTTAGGTAAATGAACCAACTCTAAGACAGTATGATAATCTTCCCAAAGTCAAACAAATGATATAGGAATGTTGGGGAATCCCTGGGAATAGTAGAGACCAGCAGGAGGGGGGTCACAGGAAGTAGGGGATAATCAATCTCCTGGGACCCTTCTGAAGGGACAGAAACTGGAATGAGGTGTGATGAGGATGTAGGTACACATAGGTTTTAGGCAGATGTGCTCATTAAGGAGATACCAAGGAACCAGGCCAGAGCTCTCTCGGGCATCCATGTCCTCCAGCAAGGATGTTCTTAGAACTGCGGCTTTGGGGTTCCTGCCCTATGCGATCAGTTTCTGTCTCCTGTTCTCATCACATAAATGCATATAAACAGGCAAGTGCAGATTCATACCAAAGTCTGCCTGACTCTGAAGCCGTGCTCTCTCTAAATGCCACTCTCACCACTCTCACACAGGCACTACCAGGGTGGCTCAGCAGGAAGGTGATGAGAAGTAGCAGTGTCCTCAACTCCTGCTCATAAACTCTACCCCTGCTCTAATTCTAAGATTGTTGTGAGTAATATATTCACCTGGTTTGTGCTCTCCTTAAATCACATCCTTTGCCTCCGAAATGCTGCCAGAGGGGCTGAGGAAAGCCAGTAGTCTTCAGTTTGATGTTGGGGTACTTAGTCCACCTGAAAATAAAACCTTGTCATCCACCAAGGTCCCCTCACTAATGGTGAGCTTAATGTGGTCTTTGAAATCACCTTTTATGCATGTTTGCTGGCCTCGGTGGATATGCATTTTCATCTTTAATATCCCCACTTTCATCTTGGCAGAGGTTTCTTTCTTTTTTTTTTTTTCACTTGTTTAGCTGAAACAAATGTTTTTGAATGGCAACTCATTAAGCAGCACACCTGTGCCTTCCAGCGATAGCTAACCCACAAAGGAAAGAAAAGGACAAGCTAGTAGAAACACTCAGAGTGTGAGGTGTAACTAGGAAGAGGGGGAGAGACCCTGCACCGCGAAGAGTGATGGGAGAAAACAACAAAGCGAGCAGGCAAAAAGGGTTGTGAGAGAATAAGGAGGCAGCCCTTCTCCCAGAGAAATAAAACACGCAAGCATCTCATCTACCCCATCCCCCATGCCACCCCGCCCCGAGCCCCGCCCAGGATCCAGCTGCCGCGGTTCCCCGATTTGAATCCCCAAAAAAAATGGCTGCTGCGATCTGGGAGTGACTGGTAAACTAGCTTTGGTTTGCTAATCCCAGCAACGGATGGTCTGGGGTGTGGGGATTTGGAGTTCATTAATTCACCCACCAGTAGCTCTCCAAGCTGCTTCCTTCCACCTCAGCACAAAGTCGTTGGAGGTGCTGAGCAGTTTGCTGCGCCTCCGAAGCCTGGCAAGCTTGGTGGAGCTGTCTTTCTTCCTAAGCACGAGCCTCTCTTCTCTCCTCCTTCATCTCCCTCTGCAGATCTTTAACACGGTGTTGGAATCCTGTGGGGCATTCCTTGTACAACTCGAAACGTGTCTGTTTGCAACCTCCTCACTGTGCCAGTGGTGGAAAACAAAAAGGATGACATCCAGTAAGCGAGAGTGTGAGTTTAGTTTCTCAAGTATAAATTCTTATTACTTTCAGAGTTAGAGCAGGCTTTAAATAGCGTCCTTCAGGGATGTTGAAGGCAGCCTGGTAGCACTCCATCACCTCACCATCACACAGATGTAGAAGCCTGCTGTGTGGAAAGTGACCTCACTCAGAGCCTCCACAGTTCCCTTCTGTCACATCCAAGTACTGTGTTTACAGATAGGCACCCTGAAAAACATAAACAATGGTCTCTTGAGGGAGTTAAAAGTATCACCTTCCTGCTTGGCAGTGTTAAGCAGAAGTTTAAAAATATTTTTTAAGCACAGTATTTAAGGAGGCTTCCTTGAGAGACATCAGGGAGAATCATACCATGTCATGTCTGTTTGGCACTTCCCTGAAGGGCTCTGGTGAGTCGAACACATTGGGGCCATCATAGGTCAAGAAAAACTCCAAGTTCTCTTCCATTTGGGTTGCAGTGGGTGGCCTTTCCTAACCCTGGATGTCCTATGTCACCTGCCTATTTCATTGTGAAGAGAATTTTGGGCAACATGAAGCAGATTGGTGGAATGGTATTATGACCCATACTCAGCTTCCGTTCCCCGCCCCCCATAGCCCAGTCTTCCACCTCTAGAAATGAGACCATGTCTTCCAAAAGCATGGATGCCATTAAAGGCAGTGTTGATCTCACCTTTGGGCAGGTTAGGAGTCTCAATATACCTCCTGTCACCTGTGAAAAGTAAGGCTGTAATGTGAACAATCTGATCCAATGTAGTTTGTTGTCTCGTCTGCCGCGCGGCCTGTGTCCGAGAACGCGTGCAGAGGGTGTCGGGGATTGACAACACAGAGACTTGTTCAACGATGTAAAGAAAACTTTAAGCAGGCCCCAAAAAGTTCAAGAAAACTTCCTAAGAAAGGCTCCCACCAGAGAAGCTTCTGCTCTCTCCTCTCCCCCTGGCTGGTTCTGCTCTGACCCCAGAAACTGATCTGGGCGTGGCAGAAGGGGCGGTTAGTCTTTGGACAAGGTCGAGGTCAGGGTGGTTTCTGTGGGCAGGCCTTTTCCAGGAACTTAATGCCCCCAGGCATTGTATTGTTTTTAGTAAACATGTCTTTAGTAAACATTGTCTTACAGCTGCCAACACCCAGGCAGAAGGGGAAGTGGGTCTCTGCTCAAGGTCTGGTGTTCCCACAATTCACCCCTTTTTATTTTTAAATGAGGCACTCCTGGCTTAGGTCAAGTAGGGTCACCCTCCCTTTCCCGTCCTTGGGGGACCTTGAACCCCTGTCTTAGGCGGGAGGGGTCTTCCCCACAGGTGGCCCGTCATCAGAGCACCCCAACTTTAAATCATCTGTAACCAACCTTCATGGCTATCGGGATTGCCATGAGCTAGGCTAAGCAATACTTGGTTACGGATCTCTTGCCTCTGGAACAAGGCACGTTTGAGCCCGGCATAAAGCCAGAATGCCTACCGCCACTGCCACCATTTCCAGGACCCCCATTGACATAGCGCCTCTCCATCACCGTACCCATCACCAGATCTGGGCCATAACATTCTACCAGCCTTCGTCTGTTACAAGGGTAACATGTACGTGATTTACATTCTGTTACAAGGGTAACCCGCATGTGACTTACATTTACAATTTGATAAAGTTACAATTGTTCCAAGATCTGCTCAGGAAAGCATTTAGAAAGTGCACTTGCACAGATACATTAGGTACAATCATTGATGTTACACATGTAGCATTATGAAAAATATGAACAATAGGCTTGTTGCACTATCCACAGAGCACCAATTTGTTCCTGTGGTGATGCAGTTTGTTGATTCAACGTCAGCTGATAATGCGACTTGAGTCAAAGTCTCCTTTTTGTCACATTAGGACAAGTTGCATCTCTCCAGAAAAATACACTGGCCTAGTCGTGATTCCAGAAACAGGAACCATCAAGTCTGATATTTCAAGTGACCATGTCCTGTTCAATTACTTAAAAGAGGCTTTTGCCCCTCATCACAGTCCATACGAATGTCCAAATGTTTTAAATGGGTCCTTTTTTCTCTATTGGCTTCATGATGAAACTCATGGGTCCGGAAGGTTGATGCAGCAGGTCTGTTGAGAAACTGGAAATCTTGAACCGACTGTTTTCTTTCTTTCTTGGGCTCTAGATTCGATGACAGCAAGGGTCAGGAACACTGATTTAGGAGATCTCACTCAAACTGGCTTAGGTAGGCTCCCATGGTCTCAGGTCCAGTTTTTCTCTGCTCCATGCTGAAGCTTTTATTCTTTTCCTACAAGAAAACACAAACATGCCCTCAACCCCAAATTAGGGTCTTCTCCACTGTTTAGTGCATGGATGTCTCCATTTGACCTGAGCAATGGTTGTTCAAGTTCCATCATGCCAGAATCTGTCTGAAGCTCACTGGCATTCACATTATAAAAATTTTAAATGAGGAGTGTATTATTTGATGAGTCATGTGGGGACTGGGGACATTATTCCCCCTTTTTTATTTTCTAAAAAAAATTTTTTTTGAACTGTTGAAGCTGGACCATAATAGTAGAAGGATTTGTCTACCCTCCTTGGTTAACTATCTAGGTAAATTGGGATTATTACTTAGATTATTTGTAGATGCCCATTAAAAAGGACATATCCATTAAATATTTCCCAAAAACTTCTGAAAATCACTCAAAGATTGTAAACTATACTGTGTCCAAATAACTTTTGAAAATTATTTGAAGTCTGTGAGCAGTCTTTCCCAATCTAACCTGTAGAGCTCTCACTAGCTGACAAGGCCTCATTTGTATCTTAAATTTTTCTGTTAAAACATTAACAGACTGGCTGGATGTTCCTTTTAGCTATATATAAAGCAATCTAGGTAGCTTCTGAACTATTTTTGAAGGAATTTAAGTATCCTTTTAATCATATAAGCAGTTCACACTCATGCATTCACAATCACATTTCATACATACCGGTGTGGCCACACCATACATTCAGAACATACATGCATCTTTCAGTCATCCTTTTTCCCTAGGTCATGATTAGTCTGTTGCAATGAAGCTTCCTTAATTGAAATCTATGTAAAAGAACAACTCCAGCCAATCCTTGAACTAAAAGGGTTAAAAAGTCCTGTATGTTCTTTATCATTCCTCCATTTGAGCTACAGTCATGGGGTACAGCTGTACCTACTCCTTGTAACTGTAGATGCAAGGTAGAGAGGCCAAGCTTTTGGCCAAGTTTTTAGAGATGACTCACAAAATAGAACTTAAATGTAAACAAAAATTTCCATTCTATATACCTTTCTCTTTTTCTTTTTCTTTACTTAATACCAGTACCTCTTTACTGTTACAAATTTTTTTTCCACCCATTTTTTTTTTAAGTCAGGGTTTCTCTGTATTGTTTGAGGCTGTCAGTCCAGCCTGGCCTCGAACTCACAGAGATACGCCTGCCTCTGCCTCCCAAGTGCTGGGATTAAAGGCGTGTGCCACCACCGCCCAGCTTGTTACCAATTTTTTTTTCTGTATTATTTGGAGGCTGTCTTGGAACTTGCTCTGTAAACCAGGCTGGCCTTGAACTCAAGAGATCTGCCTGCCTGTGTCTCCCGAGTACTGGGATTAAAGGCGTGTGCCGCCAACGCCCGGCTATTCACCCATTTTCAATCTATTCTTCGACCCAGGATATTCCCTAATGCAAAAAGCCTTAAGATTTACACAATCTACCCTCCAATTGAGGGCAATCTCTGGGTTCCCCTTTTACCCGACCTTAGTGTCAGGCTAAGGCCTAGAGATTTAATCCAATCCCCCCTCCAACTGAGGGCGATCTCTCAGGGTCCCCTTACTTTCCTGACCTTTGTCAGGCGAAGGCCTGGAGATTTAACCTGGTACCCCTAGCTTGGTATCCCTTTTTAACACATCCACATAGCCTTACTGGCCAGCCTTTTAGATCTCTCAGTTCCCCTTTACTTTCCTGACCTCAGTGGATCAGGCGAAAGACTGGAGTTTTGTTTTGTTTTTTCTTATTTTACCCTTTTTTTTTTTTTTGAGACTGGGTTTCTCTCTATCCTTTTGGAGGCTGTCCTGGAACTTGCTCTATAGACCAGGATGGCCTCATTCCTTCCTATCTCTGCCTCCCGAGTGTTGGGATTAAAGGCGTATGCCACCAACACCCGGCTCTCTGAATATCATAGCAAACATCCTCCCAATCTGGGACATTTAAGCCTTCCCCAGTAATGAACCATGGGCTCCCTCGTTCAATCCATTTTAAAAAGCCTACCATGGTTGTAGTCCCCTGTTCTTCAAGCAACTTTTTTACGGGATACTGTAATTTAAACTTCCAGGGACTATTTCCCATTGTTTCTTTTCCTATTTTCCTCCATCTGTCCCTAGCTGGCAAAAGGGACGACCCAGTCCACTTACCTCGCTTTCATGATCTCGGTAGGACCTCCAATTGTCGCGTCTGCCGCGCGGCCTGTGTCCGAGAACGCGTGCAGAGGGTGTCGGGGATTGACAACACAGAGACTTGTTCAACGATGTAAAGAAAACTTTAAGCAGGCCCCAAAAAGTTCAAGAAAACTTCCTAAGAAAGGCTCCCACCAGAGAAGCTTCTGCTCTCTCCTCTCCCCTGGCTGGTTCTGCTCTGACCCCAGAAACTGATCTGGGCGTGGCAGAAGGGGCGGTTAGTCTTTGGACAAGGTCGAGGTCAGGGTGGTTTCTGTGGGCAGGCCTTTTCCAGGAACTTAATGCCCCCAGGCATTGTATTGTTTTTAGTAAACATGTCTTTAGTAAACATTGTCTTACAGCTGCCAACTCCCAGGCAGAAGGGGAAGTGGGTCTCTGCTCAAGGTCTGGTGTTCCCACAGTTTGTAATGGCCATTTAGAAGTTGAAGGACGTTAAAACTGAGGTCTACAAATAAGCATGCTGGGATCATTATCTGCATTTTAAGGGCTCTCTTGGGAGAAGGGGAAAAAGTTGATCAAGCACAATTACTGCGCACAGCAGTTAACTTTTTTAACTGCTCCAATATGTTGGGGCTAAGATGTAATCTGAGCGTAAGGATTCCTTTATCAGCTATTGGGATTTATCATGAACACAAAGCAATTTAGACACGCCTGGTTCGTGCCTGTAAGGATT